CAATCAAACAGGCGGCTTTCACTGTAGTGGGCATGTGTAAACTTCAGACTTCGAAGTAATGTTGTTTCTTTCTTTCTTTCTTTCTTTCTTTTTCCCTTTTTCCTTTTTTTTCCTTCACGCAGTTTCCTTGCCAAATCTGATTAAGTTAACCTTCAGTAAAATCCTTCACTCTTGATAGTATTTTTTGTCGGCATGACACAACTATTTATTCTTGGAAAATCAGTTTCAGATTTAAGCTGAATCACCTATTGAGACGGGAATTGCATTTAAAAGAAAAAAAATTCTTAACAATAGCGTTTTAATTAATTTGTTATTGTCATTATATAACTTTTCAAACAATTTTTGTGGATTCTTGATTACTTTGAAATTGCTGATAAACAATTCGTTGATTTTGATAGTCCAGACCAACAGAAATTTTTTGGATAACTGAGATAAACCGTTGTAACAGTTACTGAATATTTATGAATACGAAACAATTCTGGACCTTCCTAAATAAAATATCCTACGAGATGTAATATTCTAGTTAATATTAATACACACGCACCGCTTAAAAACATATTTTTGAAGCGACTTATTTTATTATCCTGTGTTATGGGAGGGTAACATTAAAATATATCCTGAAAATAATTTGTACTTATTTAGACTGATTCAGGATCATGCCCAATCGCTTTAATATTGACAGTTTTGAAATCACGTATTCCAAATTGTAGGAAACGCATATTGAAAATGTTTAGCAGGTATACAAGTTATTAAAATCGGTAATTAGACTTTTCCATTGAATTGTGTCGGATGCATGGGATTTTTCTATTGGGATTGGATTCAGTTGGCTTTTTGTAAGCCTATGGTTTTATGGCGTGCTTTTGTGTGCATGACGTGTCTATTCGGACTTAACATAAGAGGGTAACTTGCTAAACATCACGCGGTTAGTCAGATGTCTCTCTACGAATTTTATAAAAAAAATATGTATTCGTGTGTAATAACAATGCAAATAACGACGACAATTTTATGTCGGGTTCTGACGTGACTGTGGCCACAGATTCTCCAGCCTTCCCGTTTACATTGACGAATGGGTTAATTGATTTCGCAAACAAAAAGAGAGGTTATTTGAGGTAGCTGAAGTTCTTAAGAACAGACTCACGCAATTCTATAGTTAAATTATTTGCGAAGAAAACCATTCCTTTTCGAGAACTATTCTGTAGACGATTTCGTGCATAAAATCACTTCATAAAACGTATAGGGATGAAGAGGAAAATATCCACTCATTCTCTTCCCTATTATGGTTTGAGATTGCGCATTATGTAAAACGGTATATTATGTATGTACGCAATTGCCAAAATTTTCCAGAACCCCCTCGTCACGGGATTTGGCTAACATTTGAAAACGCCACGCTCCACAATTAGATTTGATATGAGTGTGAATTTAAAAATCTCATGATGAGTCAATGGTAAAATTTTTGAGAACGTCAATGAAGTCAAAGGTTCCTTAACAGCTGAGACAGTTTCAAACTGCCGAAGGAAGGACACGTAAGTAACTGGGTAGTCCGTCAGTCGATATACGACAGTGGCCAATAAAGCGATTTGATACGATCTGAATATTCAGGGTTTTATTCCCAGCATTGGTGATGGACAAATTTCTAATTTCCACGATGTCCAGAACGTCTGAGGCCTATCTCCAAAGTTCTATGAGAATCGGATTTACGTCTTAAGAGAAAATACACCAGTACAGAATACGAAGCTTCCCCCTATACAGTGGCAAAGAAAGTGAACTTACACATTTAAAAATAACATTAAATAATTAATTCGCTCAACATTGTTATTTATTGCCTGAAATATTTGCGTTTAGAATGCATGGAGCTGTGCGTGTATCCTATACATACCCATGACGTCTTGTTTAGACACGGGCAGCTTTTTCCTTCACTCACTTTATAAAATTTATGAAATTAATTAAATGAATTTAGAAATGTGTAGGAAGTAGGATTATCAGCAGAGGTTTCCTCTTGTCGTCAGAAACTGCCATTTCTGGGGTTTTGATGATTGAAATTTGGTCCTGTAACTTTTCAACTGCCAATTTATTTTCGTGGTTTTTTTTTCCCTCAAGAAATGTAATAAACCGCATATAGGCTGGGGCGCCACTGGTAAATGGGGAATTCAACGCAAATGAAACCAACAAGAAGAATAACGTAAATCGAAATATACTACGACCTGCTTTTTCTGTCACTTACCAGGACAGACCGGCCGTTCCGCTCTGCGTGGAACAAACACGCCAATACTGAAACCCTTCAGTCACGGTCAACAGCGGGACTTCCCACTGCATGAAAGAACAGCCATGGCGGGGAAGACCCGAGTTACTGAGATCGCTGTGAGAGCGAGATCAGGTTCAATGAACACGACTGATTTGACCTTAATGTTGATTTGTTTTTGATACAGCACGCTGACTTTTCTCAATGTTCAACATTCCTTGAACGGGAAGAAAACAGATGCAGCGAAAAATATGTCAAGTCGTAAATTAATGAGAAATCAACTAATTATTTTTCCTTTATGTTTTTACTTTCTTTATTTACATCCAACTGTCTGTCTGTCTGTCTGTCTATGTTTCTTTCCTTCTCCGTCTGTTCCTTCTGTTAATAATGTTATCGAACACAAATGGGGTGGAAATTTATTTAATTTTGAAATCAAGGTAGCTAATCTGATCAGAAAAATCAGATCTGCATTGAAAATGAAGATCGGATATGATTTAAAATTTCAAAGAAAATTACTTATATCAATCCGTTCTTTTAGAACTGAAACACGTCTTATTGCACAAGCCTGTCCATGTTTGCATATCGGGGATCGAGGTAAGTTGATGTGATCATCGCCATCTTAATCGTTCACATTTCATGCTGCCTATCCATTTATGCCCGAAAATTAATTGCGGCGTGACTGTTGGACGGGTACCACCTCATTGATTTCGAATTTTGAGATTTGTATCCTATTAAAAGAGGCCGATACTTTGAAAAATTTAGTTAGGACGATTTTAGATATACTCCGACGTGCTCAAAAGATCCATTTTTATTATTACTTCTCGTCTATTTAGATACACGAATTTCAATTAAAGTTTAAAGTTTAAATGCGTCATGTTTGTGTTTTATAATTAAAATATATAATATAATTCAGGTCTATACACAAACTTTATTTACAGATGTTAAAATTTAAAATTTGCGCTATTCATCGTTACTACGATGTTACAA